CACACACACACACACACACACGACGCGTCGGGACGCGTGCAGCAGCGGGGCCCGCGGAGCCTGGCCCTGCACTGCCGATAGGCCCTTTTGCATTTGATTTGCATGTGCTGACAGCTCCTGGTAGGAAGCACACACACACGCACGCACACGCACTCAAAACGTACACGCACACACAATCGCAAAGCAGTCGGACGCGGTTGATCCAATCGGCCACATCATCGCAGCCGATCGCGATCCTGTTAAACAAGTTTTTGAAGGTAGCGTCCGGAGAGGAGCAGCAAACCGAAATCTATAGCGGCTCTGCGAAAAATATATGATAGGAAAAGAATCGGTTGATTTTTTTCACTGTAAGCGGCCCTAGACACATTAAGTTTGGTTTCCCCTTGGCCCAACAACAGTTGGCACACGTTGTATGAGATTTCAACAAACAGCAGAAATTTGCGCTGAGTTTTGCATGTGTCTGATAAGAATTGAAAACGAATTCCGGCCAAATCACTTGAGTCCGGTAGTGCACACCTCCGAAGACTAGGTAGAAAATGAACACTCGATATCCAAACATTTCCGCATTTATTTTTATTTGACCACCTAATATAACCATTATTTAAATCCGCGAAGTGGATGAATTCGTTTGTAACAAGAAAATGTTTCGTATTTACACCTACATATACGAAATGGGTCGATTGAATAAACGGATGGTTCCTTAGACCAATGGAAATATAACCAATGGAAAATATGATAGAGTTTTTTAAAGCTACTTTGAGCCGCTTTGAGCTATTCTTCACTACGGGAACTTTTCCCTTGAAAAGAAATTCTATTGATTTAAAAGAAAAATGCCATGATATTTTCATTCTATTGAAAAAAAATTACATGATTAAACCTAAATGCCTTATTTTTACTGATAAGCTAAGTGTGCAACTGCTTAACACATGTAAGTGTGCAACCACAGGTTAAATACTATGCAAGTGCTTAACTGTGTAGCGTAGCAGCACACTTGCAAGTGTTTCAATTGGTAGGTGTTTACTTGCAAGTATTCAACTTGCATTTGCACACTTACAAGTTTATCAGTGTTGGTCTGAACTAACCTTTGAGAATCCTTTCGGTCCCAGGTCCGTGGACAGCCGGGGTCACACAAGCGCCCAAACACACTCGCACACACAAACACGCAGACGCGCCCGCTCACACCAACACGCTCGCTCTGGCTGCTCTCGCGGGTCAGGCCGGCGATCCTCTGCTCCTCCCAAACCTCGTCGGTCCAACGCCAAACGGGAACTGATTTCATTTCTGCAGCAGCCTCCCCTGTCTGGACCTGAGGCCAGCGGCCGGGGTCCGACCGAGGCGTGGTGGCGGGGCGTGGCGGAGTGCGGCGGAGGGTGTGGAGGGGCACGCGTGGACTCCCCGGAAACCTCACCAGCCGACCCAGGAGGAGGATGATTCACTTCGTGGGGAGCGAATTTGAGACGAGAAGTGGACGGTGGAGGGGGCGGGCGGCGACGCCTTGGGTTTGCTCGCTTCTTAGCACGCGGGTGCCGTGTCCAGCCTCGTGCGGGAAACCCAGGCATCGGCGGCGAACCGTGACCGGCCGCCATGACGACTCAAACCGAACGGTCTGGCGGCGCGCCGTGGGTGACGTGGTCACGTGACGAGGCGTGCGTCGTCGTGCACTTGACTTCGACGAATCAGCTGTCGGACAAGGTGGACCGCTTCTGCACACACACAGACACTTGTGCAGAGGCCGCTGGCGCAGTGACGTCAGAGCGACCGAGTGGAGGGAGGGGAATGCCCCTGCACTTGAGTTTTCAGAACAGAATGTATGTGCCCGATAGCCGAGATAGCGTAGAATTTTCAAAAATGACCAATGTTTCAGATATATTCTTGGTTTTTGATTTAATTTTTAACATGCACGGAAAAAAAAGAATTAGCTAAATTAGCTAATGCATTCGCTAATATGGCCTTAGATGAGAATATTAGCTTTCCTAGCTAATTCCCAGCTAAGAAAGCTAAAATATTAGCTTTCACAGCTAGTTGCTTTATTTTGTACACAACTGTTATGGCTAATTTATTAGCTCTTCTTGCTAAGAATTAGCTAGGAGAGCTAATATTCTCATCTAAGGCCATATTAGCGAATGCATTAGCTAATTTAGCTAATTCTTTTTTTTCCGTGTGACAGTTTGTTCTGGCGAGGAAGAGTTGAAAGACCGGAATTATCATGCATGTGTAAAATAGCCCCTGATCTCATCCTAATCGTATCTGCGCCGAGCAACTTATCCGTTCATTATCATTCTAATCTACGCTTTTTATTCCCCCCTCCCCCCCCCCCTCTCTCTTTCTTGCACACACGCAGGCATACCACATACGCCAGGAGTTCCCTGACCCGTCTAGATCACGCCGCGTTCAGTCTGACTCACGCCGGGGCGCCCGCGCCGGCACCCTGCCAGGCCGCGCTGGCCGGTGCAGCCGGTCCGTGCAGCCGGTGCAGCCGGTGCAGCCGCACTTCAAAAAACTTAATGTGACATGCGTCATGTCAACTGATGGGGCCAGTTTTGGTCGCACCATCTAACGTAACCAAACTTGGATTGAGGTCACACCAAATGATTACAGACCTAGCGAAGATAGTATAGGCATAACCGAGGGCATAAAACATGAAGAGGTCACGCCACAAACGGAACTAAAAATGCGGTCACATACCACACACGGTAAACAAATATCCTTTTCGAGAAGCATGGTTGCCACAAAATTTTCATTTCCATTTTCCCTGAGTTCCCCCTGATTTCCAGACCATTTCTCCCCAAATTTCCCTGAGTTTTAATCACCGTTCCTGGCAAGGTACTGGGGCAAACAAATACCCTTAACTGTAATACAAGACCGCGAGCGAAGCGAGCGCGAAAAATTTTAGGACTAAACACCCTACTGGGACGTCAAAATGTGTATTTGACCTAAACGGCGAATAGACTGAAGTTTGGGGACCAGTCAGACCAAATTTCCCTGATTTTTTTTCATTTTCCCTGAGTTTTCCCTGATTTCCCTGACAGTTTTTTATTTCCCTGAGTTTTCCAGGTTTTCAAGGTTTTCCAGAGTTGTGGCATCCATGAGAAGATCTCCCAAAAATCTGAGGCGCTTTTCGTCTGATATGGAAGTTCCTCAAAGTTTTCCCCTTTTGAGGAAAAGAGGAAAACTTTGAACTTCCATATTTAGGGAAAATTCCTCAGATCTCGCCTCAGATTTTGAGAAATCTTCTCAAAAAATGGAGAAATAAATCTAAATTTTTTGGGGAGACTTCCTATCGAAATTTGAGGAGTTTTCCTCAAACAAAGGACGTTCCTGGAAGTTTTCCCTCTTTCCGCGAAAAATCAGACATTGTTTTTACCGTGTGCGTGCAGCCGGTGCAGCCCGAGCGCCGGGGACGGGGCGACGACAAATCCCGCGAGACTCGTGCAGGCTGGGAATTCCCCCTGGCCGCCCCACGCACGAGAGATGGCCGGCCGGGGTCGACTGCTTTCGTTTTATCATGCTACTCGAGAGTGTACTACTTTACGTACGGTCCCGTATGGTGGGCGGGTGAAAGGTGCCAAATATTTGCCACCATCGCGGCCGCAGACGGCACGCCCGTGTGCCCCGGACAAATACGCACAGCAGTCGTGAGACGGGGGACAGAGTGGGAGAAGTGGAGGCGGGGGGAGAGCCGCTAATTAATAGTGATTGTCGTGGGAACTGCCGGGCGCGTCCAGCGGTGGCCAGCGAAACGACTTGGCGCCGGCGCAAAGGAACAACCTCATTGGCTCGCTCATTGGTATCGGGCAGATTGCTTCCACCTACAGTCGACTGTTTGTCCCAAGAACATTTCGACCTGTTCCAGGTACATTTTGTTGCGGGATCTAGTTCTCTCTTAAAACAAAGGCGGCATGATCTAAAATCCGGGAGATAACGTATACACGTCAGAAAAGAAGGAATGCTTAATGAATGTATTACTGATTAATTGATGTCTGAAAAATAGCTCTGGGAGCGGAAAGGAAAATTCCTCACGACCAAAGTACTCAAAAAACAATGCGCCTGGAAAATTTTGGAAGGAATTCGTAATAAATTACGAAAAAATAACAATTTATAATAACTGTACAACAGCTGTGCTGCCGATCCGATCCACATTCCTTGCGATGTGCCTCGTCATACAGTGTTTTGTACCGACTCCCTTTCATGCTGTGGGCCAGGCGGGCGCTGCCCCCGCGCCGCAGAGCCGGCCCGGGTCCACCGTCGCTCCGGCTATTCGCACGTTGCCTATTCGCACGTCGATCTGCCGTTACAATATTACGACGAATACCTCTCGCGAACGTGAATATGCGCCGATCTATTCGCGTTGCAGCCACGTCTTAGAGTCCTCTTTATTCATGCGAGCGATCGTCGTAAAACTTAGTGATCACTGATCACGGCATTTCTAAAGAATATGTGACGCGGGTTTGGCCATTTACCTTTACAAAGAATAGTCCATCAGTTAAAAATTTAGGAAAACTTTTCACAACGTACCCCAACTTTTAATTGTCATTTTTCTTCAATAACTACTGTTTTTAATTTTTTACCCACACTACAGCGTAGGCCTACGTGTCACGATGGTGCGACGTGAGAAAGAGAGGTGTGTTGCGTGTGTGTGTGTGAGGAAGGGAGCGGGGAGGTGGTGAGGTGGTGAGGGAGAAGGTAGAGGGGCGTAAAAGCGCCGTTCGCTTTTGTGGGCTTTCTGTCGCCGTGAGGGCCGGACGCTCGCCATATCGCCATTGCGTGAACCGCAATCCAAACTTTCCGTCTCTCTCTTTCTCTCTATCCTATTTGGTCCTCAAAGAAAGCGTGAGAAGAGGTTAGCAAAGTGTTAGAACATTCCGGGGGCTCAACCGATACTGTCCAGAACCGCATTTCCACCTGATAGTTTTACTTTTGCGAAAACTGAAATAAAACATCATGGTATCTAAAAGGCTGTAATAAAAACCGCTGACCGAGGGGTGAAGAGGTGCCTCCATAAAAAACGAAGAGAACACATCAACACCTCGGCGAATATAAAACAAAAAAGAAAATAGAGAGAACAATGACAGTGATGCCCCCATTATCGAGAGTACCACATTAATTTTATGGCACTGGCCAAGTCACACATTGCGGCTCCGATATGTGAAACGCAATCGTAACGGACAGGTGGTGTGGTGCAGGCCGGGGAGAGGAGCGGAGCTGAGCGGCAGTAAGAAGCGGGTCTCTGAACTTTTATCAGCATCACACAGCCAGCCACTTCCATTAGCGGAGGTGGGATGGTGTTTCGCTAGCGCAGGAAGTACGGAGGGAGGCGAAGGGAAAGTGGTGGGGGAGGGTCAATGCTCATATCACCGCAGAGGGAAAAAAGGGAGCTAGGCTTTTTTTTCTCTCGAACCCATTAGTTCTTAGTCTTAACATTTGCAAAATATCATTTGATTGAAGATGGCATAGTCTACTCAGGACAATCCTGTCGACAGAGGCTGGCGACGAACACTTTTGCGACTAGTGGCTGAGGTGAGATGACCATTACTAAGATCTGCATGCTCCCAAACAACGCCAGCGGCTACAACAACAACAACATGATGCAATTTTCTTGATGATGGTCACGGGGACCGTAACACATTGCAATTCGACACCAGAGTGCGCCCGAGTCCGCCGCTTCGTCCTTTCTGAAAAGCGACTCTCGGCGAAGTCATCCGTCACGAAGCGACAGCAGCAGCGGACTGCGGGATGGTCGCCGTCCACCCGAGTACGGAGGGGATGGGGGCTACACGGCGGAAAACGGGAAAAAGAAGCAATTCGGAGATTGAAGAAGAACGTTGGCAGGCTATGTAAGAAAGATTAAGCCCAGAGATATATTAGTGATATATCAGTGAGTATTTCGAACTACGCATAGGGAGAAAAGGGGGGGGGGGTTCGCACTGGCCCCGCCACCGGCCAGGACGACGAGGACGACGCTAGATGCCGGGGGGCCGGCCGGCCCGCGGCCCCGTGTCCTGTCTGCCCATGTGTCCAAACACAATGCGAGCGAGTCTCCCCCCACCCTCTTTCTCTCCTTCTCGTACGGTCACCGGCCACCGGAACGGGTTACACTACACTCCGGGGCCAGGGGGGTTTACGACTTTGCCAAAAGTGACTATTTGCTAAACGACCCAGCAGGTCGGGGTCAGTGTGTCAGCCAAGCCAGCCGCGTGAGCGCGCGTCCGAGCTGTCCACGACGACTCGGGAGAAACCAAGTAGCGCATTTCTGAGTCATT